ATTTATTATCTATTATTGTATTTATTAAATTTATTTTTAAAATTTTATTTAAATAATATTTCTACCTAAATGTATGATTTTGTTTTATTTAAATCAAAAAATTAAATAATCAAATAAGTAAAAAATCCCGTTCAAATGTCAAATCCATTGTCCTATAAGCATAACATGGCAATATTTTGCCATCCAAGCAGCCAAGTGAACGTGTCTTAAACGGCAGTTAAGCCACGCAAGCGATTCCCAAATGGCAGTTAAGTTGGCGTAAGAAGAAGGGTTTAATTGCTTTGATCGTAGAGTTCAAGGGCTTATATGCATCAATTAAAGTTTAAAAGCTTAATAACGATTCTGCGGTTGGTTCAGGGGCTTAACTTATGGTTTTGCCAAAAGAGAATGGCTTCTAATAGATTGTGTTTTTATTGTGGTAAAGTTATTTAAGTATAACCGGAGACACTTATGCCACTGTTTCAGAGGAAAACCACATTTAAGTTCAGTTTAACCAATTACGGTGTATTATGCTAGTTACTTCTGTTATTAGCCAGAATGACCCAAACTTTGTACTACAGCAACCAGTCAAAGAAAAATTGAAAATTCAAACGCAAACTGAAAATAGCATTAAAAACCATAAAAATCACCATTCTTTTTCAATTCACAGATCTATAACCTGTGAGTTAAATCTATCACAAACTGTGGTTTTACTTCTACCAAATATGTGCAATTCAAGAAGTTCCAACCATTCAACCTTTTCCATTTTCCATACGAAGCAGACTCTTAAGGACCTAAACCTATAACATAATCATGCCAAGAAATAAGCAAACTCTAAGGAACTATTTAAACATTCTATTTTAAAATCTCTTTGTAAAATATGTCATTGTCAGTTTGAGTTGAATCTTGACTTCATGTTCATTTTTCACTTGTACATCGTTATTTCTACAGTATTAAGCAACGAATTTTAGAGAAAATAGCTACCTTCTAGGAGACGAATATAACCGAGTTGTTGGAGTTTGCCATGAAAAACTGGCTCAATGGAGAATTTTGCTGGAGATGGTGGGGCGATACTTAAGGTCAATAACCAAAGTTGTTGTAGCCATGCTAAGCCTGTTTTAGTACTAAGAACTGCAAAGAGATTGAGGAAGGGAAAGGATTTATATGCATTTCATTCTTCTTGATTTGTTCTTTGGGTTTTTCAATTGTGAATTCCCATAATTAAAATTTTCATTGTGGATTGAACAAGCATGTGGCTGGAAGAAGTTTTTCACAACTTAAATTTTATGTTATAAGCGTCTTTCTTTATTCAACCTCTTCATAGAGAGTAACACTGACGAAAGACAGACGATGCCGAGGTAAACAGAGTACATATAAACGACGGGAACATGCTAGCTAGGGTGAATAGAAAAACATAATTAGTATCTTGGAATCTTATAGTTCTATCTAATCTTGCAAACAATATCTAATTGGTGCAAGAACAAGGGGTGTCTTCCTGTGACAAACCAACCCACCTTCTTCCTCCATGCTGATATCTTCCCTCCTCATCCCACCAGGCAATTCCCAGTCAAAACAATACAATAGGTTGGCAAGTGCGAACTCCACATTCGTAATTCCCATGGCCAAAGCAGGGCAAATTCTTCGACCAGCTCCAAAAGGCAGCAACTCATAATTGGATCCTTTGAAGTCAATATCATTGTCCTCGAATCTTTCGGGGTAAAACTCATAGGGGTTTTCCCACAAATTTGAATCTCTCCCAATAGCCCATACATTAACAAAGATTCTTGTTTTGGGAAACACATCAAAACCACCAATTCTACATTGGCGCATCGCCTCGCGTGGGACTAACAGAGGAGCTGGAGGATGCAGCCTGAAGGTTTCTTTAACCACCATTTTTAGGTATTTTAGTTTTGCAACATCCTCTGCCTCCACCTTTCCTTTCTTTCCAACAGAACTCCTAATTTCAATTTGTACCTTCTTCATGGCTCTTGGATTCTTGATCAGCTCTGACATTGCCCATA